TATTAATTCAGGAAAACTTGGCTTATTAGGCAAATTTGGCCTTGCATAGTAGGCTGAGAAGTGCGTTCTGGCTACTAGGTACGACATATATATATATATATATATATATATATATATATATATATATATATATATATATATATATATATATATATATATATATATATATATATATATATATATATATATATATTAGTATATTTTGGTAGCAGTCTTTCCTGTAGACATATATTATTAAATATGACCGAAAAAGTAAGATTAATAATTTTAACACGAATTTTTTCAATCTTTCGTACATTACGCTTCACTGTTGGAGGTAAATCAAAAATCAATTCTCCAAAATTCATTTTTATTTCTAGTCTGACGCGACACGGGCGCGTTTCGTAAAACTTATTACATTTTCAAAGACTTTAGTTCACAAATACACAACTGAATAGAACTTACGTATCTCCAATTTTATATCTACATTTGAGTGAGTGGAAGGGGTGATGTGGCATTAACACAAGACAGAACAAAATGTGGTATTAATAGGGTATTAATTTCATCAACACAAGACAGAACAAGAGTATTAATAGGGTATTAATTTCATCAACACAAGACAGAACACGAAACAATGGATATTGAATAGAAGTGTTTGTAGAAAGCCTATTGGTCCATATTTCTTCATGCTTCTATATTGGAGCGGAGTCTTGAGGTGGGTTAAATATAGTTGTGCAATAATTGGCTGTTGATTGCTGGTGTTGACTTCTTGATGTGTAGTGCCTCGCAAACGTCAAGCCGCCTGCTATCGCTGTATCTATCGATGATTTCTGTGTTGTTTACTAGGATTTCTCTGGCGATGGTTTGGTTGTGGGAAGAGATTATATGTTCCTTAATGGAGACCTGTTGCTTATGCATCGTTAAACGTCAATATCCATTGTTTCGTGTTCTGTCTTGTGTTGATGAAATTAATACCCTATTAATACTCTTGTACTCTTGTTCGAAAAGGTTAGGTTAGGTTAGGTTAGGTAGGTTAGGTAGTCGAAAAACAATTAATTCATGAAAACTTGTCTTATTAGGCAAATCGGGCCTTGCATAGTAGTCTGAGAAGTGCGTTCTGGCTACTAGGTACGACATATATATATATATTATTATAACGCATATAAATTATGCGTTATAAATTATACATATACGTTATGCGTGGTTTCCTCCGAGGCTATGGGTTCCCCTTCTTCCAGCTAGAGGTGGTACTCCCTTCTATATTTTTTATATATAAATGTATATATATATATATATATATATATATATATATATATATATATATATATATATATATATATATATATATATATATATATGTCGTACCTAGTAGCCAGAACGCACTTCTCAGTCTACTATGCAAGGCCCGTTTTGCCTAATAAGCCAAGTTTTCATGAATTAATTGTTTTTCGACTACCTAACCTACCTAAACTAACGTAACCTAACTTTTTCGGCTACCTAACCTAACCTAAACTATAAAGATAAGTTAGGTTAGGTTAGGTAGGGTTGGTTAGGTTCGGTCATATATCTACGTTAATTTTAACTCCAGTAAAACAGTAAAAAAAATTGACCTCATACATAATGAAATAGGTAGCTTTATCATTTCATAAGAAAAAAATTATAGAAAATATATTAATTCAGGATAACTTGGCTTATTAGGCAAATCGGGCCTTGCATAGTAGGCTGAGAAGTGCGTTCTGGCTACTAGGTACGACATATATATATATATATATATGTCGTACCTAGTAGCCAGAACTCACTTTTTGGCCTACTATTCAAGGCCCGATTTGCCTAGTAAGCCAAGTTTTCCTGAATTAATATATTTTTTCTAATTTTTTTCTTATGAAATGATAAAGCTACCCATTTCATTATGTATGAGGTCAATTTTTTTTTATTGGAGTTAAAATTAACGTAGATATATGACCGAACCTAACCAACCCTACCTAACCTAACCTAACCTAACTTTTTCTGCTACCTAACCTAACCTAACCGATAGAGATAGGTTAGGTTAGGTTAGGTAGGGTTGGTTAGGTTCGGTCATATATCTACGTTAATTTTAACTCGAATAAAAAAAAATGACCTCATATATAATGAAATGGGTAGCTTTATCATTTCATAAGAAAAAAATTAGAAAAAATATATTAATTCAGGAAAACTTGGCTTATTAGGCAAATCGGGCCTTGCATAGTAGGCTGAGAAGTGCGTTCTGGCTATTAGGTACGACATATATATATATATATATATATATATATATATATATATATATATATATATATATATATATATATATATATATATATATATATATATATATATATATATATATATATTGTGCTTTATTATGCATTTGATGGTTACAAGATATACATGGGTTGATACAAAAATAATAATGCAAAAAAGTGATTAAAGGTTATGGATCTCTTGAAAAACACAACAATGGGAAACATTGATGAATGTCACAGACGGGTTCGATCATTGTTGCAAGTCAAACACTTCTTCGAATTCCTCTGAAGTTGGACTAGTGCCCAAGACGCAACAGGCATTTCCCCTCTGAATCGCAACACTGAGGCGCTGGAACAAGAAACTTTTTGCTCTCTGGTCTTTTGTAGCGCTGATCAATTTGTCCCCCAATTCCTTCAGGAACTTCAATGCACATTTTCCCCACGAACCGAGGGTCTCCGAGCCGATCGGAACAAAGCTGTTGCAGTGTGCTAGACCTCTGTATTTAATAATTTTCTGCGATTCCCTGAAAGAAGCAGCACCACCGCTTTCACGTGTGCTGTAGTGGAGGTAGGTACTGGCCAGTGTGGCAGCGCACGTGTAGTCCCATACCACTTGCTTACCATCCTTCCAAGGTAGCAAGGTGACCCCATCAGGGCGCTTCTGAGGGTCGTTAGGTCTGGATAAGTGTGGTTCTCTTTGTGCCGGGCAGCGGGTTGTGGCGAGGCTCCTCTTGATGATGTCGTTGACTTCTTCATGTCTTGCAATTTTACCCTGTGATTTACGACATACCAGACCATGACGACCATATTGGTTTGCCATCGCAGTTCCGCAGATGCACCTATGTTCAGTGAGGATGGGGGCGGCAAGGCGAAGGGCAACTCCAATGCGGAGAGCGTCATGACTGAGGCGAGTTCCCAGGGCTGCATTGGGCACAGCAAATAAGCAAATAAGCTGTGCATTGGGCACAGCAAATATATATATATATATATATATATATATATATATATATATATATATATATATATATATATATATATATATATATATATATATATATATATATATATATATATATATATATAACCTACCTAACTTATACTCGTTTTGGGTGAGGTGATATGGCACAAAAGTTGTGGGTGAGGTGAAGTAGAAGACAGAACACGAAACAATGGGTATGAGAACATAAGAATGAAAGTAATTACAAAAGGCCTATTGGCCCATACTTCCTCTTGCTACTTCCATATTGGTTTGGGGTCTTGAAGTGGGTAGAATATAGTTGCGCATTAATTGGCTGTTGATTGCTGGTGTTGACTTTTTGATGAGTAGTGCCTCGCAGATGTCGAGTCTCCTTCTAGTGCAGAATTTATCGATGATTTCTGTGTTGCTTGTTAAGATTTCTCTGGTGATGGTTTGGTTGCGAGAAGAGATTACATGTTCCTTGATGAAGCCTGTTGTTTGTGCATAGTTAATCACCTAGAAAGAGACGCTGTTGTGTTGCCTATATTCTGAGTTCTTTGGGGCTTACAGTTCCCATGCGAGCATGTGAAGGCATAGAAGACGTTGGTTACCTTCAAGGCGTTCTGTTTGGTTTTTGGGGAGTTTTTCATGAGTAGATTGGCCGTTTTTTAATTTTTGTAGTAAATTTAAATTTACAATTTAAATTGTATATATAAGTAAATTGTGGCTCAGCAACGCACATGCGTTGCTGTTCAAAATGAACATTTGTTTACGACTATTCAAATTTTTTTAGTATTTTGTCTTGTGGCTTGACATATTTTTAATGACAATTTTGGCAATGTCTGGCTAAATTGTCTGTGCAGTTGCCACTTTGATCAGTGTTGACAAAGGTTGATTAGACAGCGTTGTTTTCTGAGAAATTTTTGTTCATTTCATGAAGGAAACTAACTGTTTACACACATAGGTAGAACCGAACAGAGCATTGCTATAATCCTTGTGGCAATCTTTCTGAAGTTATATAACTTTTTTGGAAGGTATGAAAAGAAACTACGTATACCCACTTCAAGATTCTTTGCTATGAGTGTAAAATCCGACTGCATTTCTAATAGCCTTATCTGCAGGCTTTCTTCTGCCTTGGCAATATCAAAGGTGAATGGTGCTGAGAAACGAAATTTAGGCCAGCTTAAAACAGTTAACATCATTTCTATTTTTAGAAGTCTTAACTCGTTTGCCTCACAACTACATCTGTGTTTCACTTGTGCTTTTGAAATCTATTAAAAGGTAATAGTTTAAATTATAAAAACTGTAATTTTTGCCGATAAATAGTCAAGTTACAGTATCCTTTGTGCACGTGTTCTTGCAAAGTGCCGAATGTTTGATATACCTGAAACAGAGTATATAAATATACTAAATTAGGTCTTGGATTGCTAATGTTACGCCGAGGATTATTATTTTAAGCCTTGGACAGTGATGAGTAGGTATTTAGTCATACTGCTTTACGTTGTTGTGCAATTTACAGTTCCATTTGTTCGAAACGTGAACAGTTTTTGTTTGCAAATCCATATTTTGCACATTCCAACCATAGCAAAAATAGGTTTATAATTTTTATGAGAATAGGTTGATCGTTTCATATTTTTAAGTCTTCGTAAGTCTTCCATTGGCGATCCTGGGTATTCATCTTAATTTATTACTAGCGTTAATTTAGTGTCTGTGTCAAATACGCTAATGACCTGCTCTCTCAGAATATATATTTTTGAGTAGGACAGTACCAGAAATAGTGAACAATTAATAATATGACCAACCTTGTGTTATTAATAATTTCGGTGAGAGTTTTGAGAATTATGTCTTCAGTTAGGTTTGACCACTCTAGAAAGTCTCCCAGACCAGAGTTCCTCACAAACATGCCGTTCCTGGGCTGGTCGGAGAAGATGGGGAGGACGAGGAGGGGCGTGGCGTGGAAGATGGCCTCCTGCAGGCTGAGGAGGCCTCCGTGCGTGATGAACACCTTCACGTTGTGGTGGGCTGTGGTACACAGACATAATACCAGGGTGAGCCAGATGTACAATAATATTTTAAGAGATTTTGCACAACCATATTTGTCCTCTAAGGAAGAGAATATAATATTCAGTTGTGCCTGTAAAGAATATTGGTAATGGGCTGAAAATTTAATTTTGTGTTTACATTTGAAATATAAGTTTTGAGCTATGGAAACATAAATTATGATCAAGGAATTGAGAAAAAATTAATTACGTCTGGACCAATGAGCAAATTGAAAATTATAATTATCTTTTGTAATCTGTCAAACCTTCTATATAACCTATGGTGTTACCCATCGTGTTTAGTAAAGTTTAAAATTAAAAAATACTTAAACGGGGTAATTGAAGACTATATATTGAACAAGTATAAAGGAGAGCCGCACAACATCTCCTAGTGATGCATATACTTTTTAGAATGAGGGTCCCACAATCAGAATTTGAGGTTTAATATATATATATATATATATATATATATATATATATATATATATATATATATATATATATATATATATATATATATTTATATATATATATATATATATATATATATAAATATATATATATATATATATATATATAACATATATATATATATATATATTTATATATATATATATATATATATATATATATATATATATATATATATATATATATATATATATATATATATAAGAACAAGCCTGAATGGTCCCCAGGCATATATGCAATTGAAAACTACACACCCCAGAAATGACTCGAACCCATACAGCTAGGAGCACTATGCCACGGGTGTACAGGAGACGTTAACCACTCGACCATCAGTAACCGTACTGATGGTCGAGTGGTAAAGGTCTCCTGTACACCAGTTGCAGAGTGCTCCTGGCAGTATGGGTTCGAGTCACTTCTGAGTGAGGTGTGGAGTTTTGAGTTATATATATATATATATACATACATATTGAGTGTATATTAAGAAAAAGGTGATATAAAATTTATGTTTTCTATGCATTAGGTTTAAAGAACCTCTGTGTTATATTGAGAGTGATGTAGTTACAATATGTCGAAAACATGCTAACAGGAAGCCAGCTTACATTAGGGCCGTCATGATGACTTTTTATTATTACAAAGGATAAACCAACGGAAAACTTAGACAATATTCTGAATGGTTGAGCAGCAAAGACTCACCCAGAACATCCTGCTGGGGGAACCACTTGCTGATGATCACGTTGTCAGGGAGGCCCTCCAGCTTCCCCTCGTATTTCCAGAGGACGCGCTGCGGCAACCTGCGGAAGGCCTGGACGAGGAGGTCGCGGTACTGGACTGGTATGCTGATACTTTGAGCAACGGAGCCCAAGCTGAAGTATATGACGCCAGCAGACCCCGCCCCAGTGATAAGCGACTCCAGTTCCTGTAACCATAATTTTTGACGGAATGAATATCGATATTTATTTATCAATATATTTATTTACAAGAAGGTACAATGAGTTTGTGAGATTACATAACATTAGTATTTTATAGTCTTTTAAAGCCACAAATAACCATAGCGTTTCGGGTAGTATATCAATAAAAGGGAATGTCCGTTTGTTTCTCTGTCCGATGTTGGAGGCCAGAAACATTACCAAACTTTGCAAAATGACTCATGTGCGATTTTTAATGTCAAAATTGACATAGTGGATGTCTTTTCAATTATGAATAATGAAAAAATCTATTTCAGCGCTTCATAATGATGAAGCGGTGAAATACTCCAAACCAGACCGGAGGTCCGAATCAGGACCTACTGTCCTGACTGGTTTGGATTGGAGACGGGTTCAACTGAAAATGAGCACACATAAAATGATTTCGATGTTCAGTAAGCACTTACTGAGTGGTTAACTGAATGCCTGAGACCCCTTTACATGGTTGATAGTTATTATTTATTTTACGATGGAAAACATTAAACTAAACTAAGAATGAACTCGCGAGAAATGATTTCCCCATTCAGTAAAAACTTGCTATGATAACTGAATGACTCAGACACCTAATGCATGGGTGATGATAGTAGTATTTAATTTAAGATAGAAAAGCTTTAAACTAAATGGAAATGAGCTAGCATGAAGTGATTCCCACGTTCAGTAAACACTTACTGAGTTGTAAATTGAATGTCTAAGTCACCCAATACGTGGTTGATGATAGTAATATTTTAAGATTGGAAACTTTAAACAAAACTAAATAAACACACATGAAGTGATTTCCACGTTTAGTAAACACTTACTGAGTTGTAAACTGAATGTCTGAGCCAGTCAATAATATAGGCTTGATGATAATAGTAGTAGTATTTTATTTTACGATGGAAAAAACTTTTAACTAAAAATGAGCTCGCATGACGTGATTTCTATGTTCAGTAAACATTTACTGAATTGTAAACTGAATGCCTGACCCATCCAACACACGGTTGATGATAGTAGTATTTAATTTGAGATGGAGAAACTTAAAACTAAACAAAAATGAGCACACACGAAGTGATTCCCACGTTCAGTAAATACTTACTGAGTTGTAAACTGAATGTCTAAGTCACCCGAAAGTACTTCATTCATAATGATGTGCTGCCCGAAATTTTAGCGAAGTATCCAAAATTTGCTTAATGTAGGTAATGCATGCACATGACTGTAAAGCTGCCGCCCAGTTGGGTGGGTGTGCATCAAGACTAGTAACTGTGTGACTCACTATAGATGTAAAGTGCCTCGTATAGTGACTGTTGTGAGCCTCTTGTAATGTCACTTGTGACACCTCTTTGTGTCACTTGTGACACAAAGATTATTGATGTGTGTAATTGTGTGGGTGATTAGATATGTATCTGTATGTATATGTGTATACGTATATATATATGTACATGTATGTATGAGGGTGTGTACATGTGTATACAACATTGATAATTTTGTAACTAGCGTCAAATATTGTTATTTGCTTAGCTAAACGAACTAGAGGGTTCAGTTCCTGAACCGATTATGTGCCTCTGTAATCCTTTACACCGCCGCTCACGGGATGGGTATGGGGTGCATGATAAAGAAAGAAATTGAATTAAGTCACCCAATACATGGTTGATGATAGTATTATTTTAAGATGGGGAAACTTTAAGGTAAACTAAATGACCAAGCATGTAGCGATTTCCACGTTCAGTAAACACTTACTGAGTTGTAAACTGAATGCCTGAGCCACCCAATACAAAGTTCATGATGGTAGTATTTTATATTACAATGGAAAAGACTTTAAACTAAAAATGAGCTCACGTGAAGTGTTTTCTATGTTCAGTAAACACTTACTGAGTTGTAAACTGAATGCCTGAGCCACCCAATACACGGTTGATGATAGTAGTATTTTATTTTACGATGGAAAAATTTTACCCTAAACTAAAAAATGAGCTAACATGAAGTGATTTTCACGTTCAGTAAACACCTACTGAGTTGTTAACTGAATGCCTGAGCCACCCAATACATGGATGATGATAGTAGTATTTTATTTTACGATGGAAAAACTTTAAACTAAAAGGAACTCACATGAAGAAATGTAGGTAGCGAACATGTCTCCTCAGCTCTTTTATCTTCCGCAATGCCTTTCCTCCTATCTCAACCCCATTAGTTCATGTTCTCGTGTTTCACTTTTTGTTAAAACTAAATCTTCACACGTGATATGAAATGTGAAAAAATCTTACATTATGCTATGTTATCAGTGCTTGAATACAAATATTAAGTGCTGAATATTATGTGTCATTGTCATGCTACGATATTAAAAGTCTATGTTTTTGCTGGGGCTACTATTACGCACAGTCATCTCGCTAAGGCGGGTCGGTGTCAGATTTGTCAAAATGATGTACCTTGCATACATCAGATCTTTAGTGAATTATGCTGCACCTCTCTTTGTTTTGATGTCTGAAAGAAAGCTTGGAGGGCTTGAAAAATTGCAGAACGAAGCCTTGAGGATAATCCTTGGGTGGTTTCGTACCACAAAGATACTTAATATGAGCAAGGAACTTAATATTCCGAGCGTTGTTGATCGTGTTATTGAAATTAACTGTCAAATTGGTATAAAAAAAATGCTTAGGCTAACTCATCCTAACCCTTGCACAGAAGCCCTCCAGAATTTCTTTATTGAAGATCAGCATTGTTCCAAATGGATAACAAAAACTAGAACTCGACTCAGAATGTATCAGGTTCATGATTTGCACCAAGAGAAACAACAACAGCACTTTCCTACACCTTGGGAGATTACACCCTTTCCACCCAAGAAGCAAATTAGAGATCAGCCCAAGCTTCGTCTTGAGGCAAACCTCAACAACTTAAGCCATATTTATGCTCTGTTCTCAGAACATTCTCTCTCTCAAATCATATACACTGATGGTTTCCTACACCGCACCACGGGTGCAGCTGGAAGTGAAGTTGTTCTGACAATGGGCGATGGCTTGTACTTTGAGTGGGGTAGTCCGTATAAACAACTGGGCCTCGATCCTTCAGACCGAACTATTTGCCTTGCTCCTTGCACTGAAATGTATACAAGTCTCCAAACTTGATACAATAATTGTAAGTGACTCCTTATCATCATTAAATACTCTCAACTCTTTAAGACATAACTGTAACATGCTCGTGTCCGAAGCTAGACACAAAATACAACAAAATTATTAAGGATGGCAACAGAGTTCATATCATGTGGTCTCCATCTCATGTTGACCCCCGAATGCATGATAGAGCTGATAAGTTAGCCAAAAAACTTGCCTTTAAAGGAGACGTTGAGTGTAACCTTGGATTGTCAATGAGCAATCTGAGAGCAGCAGTACACCGAGAACTTCAACAAGATCCTGTAGATCTGAGGCAAAGTGAAATTGACAGTGCTTAATTTAGAAACTGTACTTGTGGTCGGTCTCGAACCCATTGTCGATGTGCCGACTTATATTGAATTTTGTAGCTAGCTCATCAAGATTGTAACTTGCTTAACTAAATGAATTGTGCGGTTCAGTCCCTGAGCTCATTATGTGCCTCTGTAACCCTTTCCATTACCTCCCACAAGATGGGTATGGGGTGCATAATAAATGAACTAAACTGACTAAACTGTCATAAAGTACTAATGGCATAAGGTCAGCCTGACGAGACTGTAGATCCTATGTTCTACCAAATTGAAGCCGGCTATTTTACTAATGGCTCAACTCGAGAGAGAAGCAGTCTATCCCATAACATATTAGAGTCTTCAGTCCACTGTTGCTGTTGCTGTTTGACTTACTGAGTTACTGAGGGATGGTTTTAAAATATAATAATAATAATAATAACAACAACAATAATAATAATAATAATAATAATAATAATAATAATAATAATAATAATAATAATAATAATAATAATATTAATAATAATAATATCAAGACTTAGATTCGTGAGGTATATGTTGTGATCACACAGTTAACCAAAAATATTAGAGTTTGTAGGTAGTGATGACGTCTCCCCAAACTCTTCTGTCTTACAGCATGGTATGTCCTCTGGTGAGCGCGTGTGGAATGGGATGGCATCTGTGTGTTTGTGAACTGGGTCACTACTCTACATATGATCAGAAATAATAATACTAAAGGCTTTGCATAGAATATCCGGTCTGGGAAGGGTGATGTGATGCTTGATGGTATGGGCTGGGGAGGGGGTTGGAGGGGGTTGGGGTGGGGTGGGGGGGATGGGGGTGAGGGTAAGGTCACCCAAATATCTCGCTCATCTCAGTACACCTCAAACCACCATCCTAGATGTGTGTAATGGTGAACACAGTAATATTTATATGGTAAGAGAGACGAAATGGAGATATCTCCCCCATCTGTCTACTAGCTAAACCCTTTCTACAGATTGGATGGTAGACTAGGATGACAAGAAGGTTCGATGGAGTGGATGAATGACTCTCCCCATCTGTATGCGTTTTTCCACATTATTCTTATATATATTTACTTACTAACAGCGCATGCTTGGAATTTGTGTGGGAAACATTGCTCACCTATGGGAGAGAGAGAGAGAGAATGAATGGCGCGTTTGAGGTATAGCAGAGGTCAGACTGGGATGTGTTTGCCGACCTCGCCCATCTCACTACACCTCAAACCCCACAAAAAATGTTTCCCTCATTCAGTAAACGGCTACCTACTGACTTTGACGAATAGAGAGAGAGAGAGAAAAGCATGTAGGATTTGTTATAAGAAAATTTAAGACTGGTAGTTACCTTTAATATAAAAAAAAAAATTTGGACTTTGTATGTGGGGAAGATGGCTCACCTATGGGAGAGAGCGAACGGGAGGCACCACTCGCTCGCTCGCTCACGGGTCATTGGAAAGGATCGGGTGTTTCAAGACATGAACTAATGTCAACCCTCTTAGTAGATCTCCGATGTACACCACAGAGAGAGAGAGAGAGAGAG